TTCGTGTATCGGTGTGGAGCACACAGAGCACATTTCATTTAGTTGGTAACAGACAACGCGTTTTGGTGCTTCATTAAAAAAGAAACATATATTTCCCGAGAGAGGGAGAGCACAACAAAGCTCGGCTTGCACGACTGCCTATCAAGGCAAATTTTGCTGCATCTCAACTGGTACAATAAGACAGAAAACTACAGTTTATATCGTCGAATAGTACATCAGGGTACATACATACGCACACTCAGAGAGGGAGCATTTATGCAAACCCCAATCCCCGGCTGCTTATATTTGCGGAGTCAGCCGCAATCAGAGAATGGAAACCTGGCCTGTGTGGGCAAAAAGAACTGTGAATTACACTGTCACTGCCTTTATAGTGGCAAAAGTGTGATGATTCTACCGTTGTATTCCTGGTTAACCTGATATACTGTTCAACCATATAAACTGTAGTTTTTTGCCGTATTGTACCAGCTGAGAGGCAGCAAAATCTGCCTTGGTATAAACTGGGCAGCCCAGATTCGGTGTGCTCTCTCTTCATGAAATAGCCAAACACTGTACAATCATATGGGTCTAAATGAAAAAGGGGATTAGGGAGTGAAGAACAAATCATCAGAGGGCGAGGAGGATTAAAATATGTTTAAACAGGCAAATCACAGAATAGGATGGGCTGTGACCAAACGCGATTCGAGGTCATCTAACAGCCACCGTGATTCGACTAAACAACCACCACCATGTGCTATCAAAGCCGTTTTGCTAGAGCATCCAAATTATCGTGGCCATCCCTTGCTGATCCGATTACGTAATACAATGGCCTTCGAATCATTGTTGACAAAGATCAGAAGTGTTTACAGGATTATCATTTACCAGAGTGAACTGCCAGTTCAACCCGATTGTGATTTGTTCCCTCCCTCCCCTCCCCGATCTTTTCTTCGATTGTCCCGTGTAATTGTGCTGCATTTAGCCAATTAATGAAACATTGAAAAAGAGCTTGTTTGCCATTGACTTCTGGCAACTTTCGCCGCATTAACCCTGGTGATTTAGCGTAGATCGATAGCAAGCCGTGCCATTGCTTCGGCTCTAGGATAGAGCATGGAAATCTGTAAAACTATATAGGGTTGCAACAGACCTGACTGACTAACCAAAACGATCAGCTTTTCCCATGAGTTTGTTCT